TGGCACCCAGCGTGCGGCCCAGCACACCACCAAGTCTGGCACCCAGCCTGCTGACCAGCACGCCACCAAGTCTGGCACCCAGCCTGCTGACCAGTATGCCACTCAGTCTGGCACTCAGCCTGCTGTTCAGTCTACCACCCAGCCTGTCACTGAGTCTGGCACCCAGCATGCTGCCCAGCAGGCCATCAAGTTTTACACCCAAACTGCTGCCCAGCCTGCCACCCAGTCTGGCACCCAGCCTGTAGCCCAGCATACCACCCAGTCTAGCACCCAGCCTGTGGCCCAGCATACCACCCAGTACACCATCAAGGCTGGCACCCAGTCTGTTATCCAGTTCACCACCCATATTGGCACAATATCTGCCATCCAGTACGTTACCAACTCTACTGACAAGCCTGCCACTCTGCCTATCACCCAGTCTACGCAGTCTGACACCCAGTCTACTGCCCAACCCACCACCCAGTCACCCATCCAGTCGAACGCACAATTTTCCAGCCCAACAACAGCCAAAACTACCACCCCGTCTGCTGCCCCAAATGGGACGCAGACCTCGGTTGCCTCCTCCCCCATTGTCCTGATGGGCTCCTCTCAAATCTCCATCAGTGACTCCAGCCACTCTGGGCATACCGCAGCCGCCCCAGTCACCATTGGTGAGGGGGCAGAGATCATCGTCGCCAACTTGGACAGCAAAGTAAAAGAGACCGCCATCCCCATCATCCTAAAAGCTGGGGATGAGATCATCGTTGCTAGTTTGGACAACACTGGGAACAACAGCAGTCCTCCTGACAACATCAGTAGCCAGACGGAAATCATCATCTCCAATGCTGAGGGCTCAGAAAATGCAACGTCTGCTTCCATTGTCCTCAGCAGTGGGGACGAGATTGTGGTCGCCAGTTCTAATGGTGCTTGGACTGAAACGGCTACTTCCATCTTGCTCAGCAACGAAACCGAAATCAAAATTGCCAGCATAAAAGATAGCGAACACCCGATTGTTTTAGACGGTGGTTTGAAAGTAATAACTGAATATTATTCAGAAATGGCAGAGACAGAGGCCAAGCAGGCACGCACATCTGTCATCCCAGAGACTTCGGTTCCCATTATTCTTACCGGAAGCAAAGCCACTGTGGTGGTCCCAGGCAAGAGTCCCACAGTACAAGAGGCCGTGATTTCGCCCCACATGGCCATGACTATCGTTGTCTCGTTAGACACCTCTTCTTATACATGGGCCCAGTGGAGTGACTGGTACTGCAACTGCCTCAATAGCAGCATGTCACGAATCCGGGGCATTATGGACAAAGAGACAGGTGCCATCCTCCACGCCAAGGACTACCAGCCAAGTTATTTCCAAAGAGAGCCTTGTAACTATAAGGTCTGCCAGTGCAGCCAGGAGGACAAGCAGTGCAACGCCACTAATGTCACCTGTTTAGAGTCCAACCCATATGACTGTGTACTCAATGACATCGCCTATCAGGGTGTTTTGGACTCCAAGCATTACTGGAATAAGTTGCAAAAGGGAGTCCAGGCCCTTTATCACAAAATTAAAACGTTCTTGAGGAAAAATGCAAATGAGGAGACATAGTCAATGAGGTAAGAAATTTGCCAGGTCCTGTTGGAGGGAGGAAGGCTGTTGCAGCCAGCACATCCTGCTTTGAGGTGGAGTTCAGTTTTGTACAAGAGCCAGTTTGGTCATACACTTCAGCAGATTGTCGCCCTTGGTCATTAATTCATTCACAGGGATGTGGGTATTGCTGTTAATTCAACAACCCTCCCCCCTCGACAATTGCCCCTTGAGAAGTTGGCATTGAGCCACTTTCTTGAATCCAACCAAATATCTTGCCCGGCCATTTTTTTCTCAATTCAACAAACTGTTACACCACAGCCTGTTTGGTCTGGTGTGTTTATGCCAGCTTTCTCTCCGTTGGAGCAACAACCAAGGCCCACTCTCTTGTCCTTTTGCCATCACCATGCAAATTTTTCTTTCCACATAATAATCCAATTCTCTTTTGAAAGCTGTGATTGCCTCTGCCTCCACCACACTTGTAGATAGTGAATTCCAGAGCTTAACCACTCGCTGTCTGAAAATATTTTCCCACAGTGCTGCTGCGTCTTAACCACTCACTGCCTGAAAATATTTCCCCACAATGCTGCTGCTTTTGTTAATCACCTTAAACCTATATCCCTCTTCAAGCCTTCCAACAATGGGAACATTTTCTCCCTCTCTGTCTAGATCACTCATCATTTTGAGCAGCACATTTGAACCTCCTCACTGCCTTCTCTTCTTCAAGCAGAAGTGCAGCTTCTCTAATCTGTCCTCGTTACTGGAGTCCCTTTTCCCTGGAGCCATTCTTGTAAATATCTTCTGCGCCTTCTTTAAAGCCATCACCTCCTTCCTAAAATGCAGTGCTAGATATAATACTGCAATGGAAGTTGAACCAGTGCTTTATACAGGTTTAGGACTTATTGCTTTTGTACTCTATATCCCTATTGCTAAGGCTTGGATATCGTGTGCTTTTATTGACTGTACTTTTCAGCTGTCCTGCTACTTTTAATGATTTCTACACAATACCCTAGGTCCTTCTACTCCTGCAGCCCTTTTACAGTGGTATCCTTTATTTTGTATCACCTCTGTTTGCTCTTCTTAGCAAAACGAATCATCTCTTATTTCTCTGTATTAAATTGCATCTGCCACCTGTTCATCCCTTCCACCAACCTGTCTCTTTTTGTAGTTATTGTTTGCCTGCTTACAGTTCACACAACTTCCATAAATACTTGAGAGGGCAGCAAAGAATCAAAAACACTGTTGTGGGTCTGGAGACAGATGTGGGTTAGATCAGGTAAAGGTGGCAGATTTCCTTCCCTAAATGATGTTAGTGAACCAGAGGGACTTTTTAAACAGTAATTTGATATTGCCATGACCAATACCTGTATTTTATTCCAAATTTATTAAATTAATTGAAGTTAAAATTGGCAATATTTGAATTCACACCTCTGAAATCTCTGTCCTGTTAGTAAACATAACCACTGTGTGACCATAATAAAAAGAAATGGTCTTAGATATTCTTGGCCTTTTCTTCCATGGCTTGCTTTGCACGCAATCATTTGTACAGGGAAAAAAAATTACCTGGCCGTTACAGTGCAGATGTAACTGGAGGTCTGTGATCTCATCCTTTGGGATAGGCTTGTTTTAAACGCACTCCATTGGTTAAGTTTCATTTGGTGTAAAAGTTGGCTTTTTAGTTGAAATTATTTTTCTTTGAAACATCGCTAGGAGAAAACCTTTGTTTTGTTGAAAAGGACAAGATGGTGAATTGCTGCCTTTCAGAAAAATATTGGAGGTTGATTCCATTGGTTTGCCTCCTGTCATTCGTCTTTTGAAACTACTGTCCACCAGTTATTTCTCCAGCATATCATGTACAACCATCACATTCTACACATCAACTCATAACTTCAGGCAGTTTAAACGTTATATGATGTTATAGATGATACAAATATTTCTGCAAGGGGCCCTGCAATTTCCTCTCTAACATCCCACAAAGGGTATTGCTGAGAATGGAGGGTTTGAGTTATGGACAGGGGCAGGATAGGTTGGGACTTCGTTCACTGAAGTGTAAGAGTTTGAGGGGTAACCTCATAGAGGTCTATAAAATCATGAGAGGTATAGATAAGGTGAATGGCAGAATGGGAAAGGTCTTTTCCATAGCATGAAGGATTTCAAGACCCTGGGCCATATTTTTAAAGGTGAGAGGAGAAAGATTTTAGAGAAGGCATGAGGAACATTTTTTTTACATAGAGTGGTTCATGTGTGGAATGAACTTCCAGAAAGATGCAGGTATGGTTACAACATTTAAGTGACATTTTGATTAATACTTGAACAAGAAATTATGGTAGGATATGGGCCAAATGTAGGCAGGTGGGACTAGTTTATTTTGGGATTATGAATGGCGTGGACTGGTTGGACCAAAGGATCTGTTTCCATGCTGTGTGACTCTGGCTAGATGGCTTCCTACTGCATTGTCATCTTCCTGTGAGTTTTGTTTACATGAGGACTCTTCTTCTAAGTCCAGGTGGTAAAATAAACTGAGGAAAGCTATAAGGTATTTTACAGCAATGAGGGGAGGTGAATAGCAGGTCACCTTGCTCAAGGGTTCAAGAATGTCCTTTCCTTGATTTTGGTTAGCCCCCACAATTTTAGAAATTAAACTCCGAAATTCATCTAGAGCGAGACAGAGAGAGAAAGAGATGCCATGATTTTCCTCAGGATGGAAGATGGAAAATAGTACAACATAGTGACCTCTGTGACTGCTAGGAGAGCAAGAACAATTCAATAGCAAAATTCTTGAAGGTGCAAAGGCAATACTTGGGTGATCATGAGCCAAGCAAATGAATATGGGATGGCTTGCAGATAGTAAGGACTGCAAATGCTGGAAGCCAGAGTCAATAGATGTAAAGCTGGAAAAGCACAGCAGGTCAGACAGCATCCGAGGAGCAGGAAAGTCAACGTTTCAGGCTGAAAACCTTCATCAGGACTGGGGAGGGGGAGAGAAGCCCAGACGTAAATAGAGGGAGGGGGGGTGGGTCTGGGGGGAAGGGTAACTGGGATGTTGATAGGTAGATAGAGGTAGGGGTTTATTGTGATTGGACAGTGGGAAGGGTGGAGTGGATAGGTGAGTAGGAAGATGGACAGGTTAGGTTAGGTCAGGTCAGGGAGGTGAGGAGTCGGGGGAGGGCTGGACATGGGATAAGGCTGGGTTTGGAGATATTTTGAAGCTGATGAAGTCTTCAGATTGTGGTTGAAGAGCTTCAGCGCAGAGGAGGCAACCAGGGGGTTGCAATGAGAGAGAGAGACTCACTGAGCTCTCTTCAGAGGGAGAAGGAAAACTTCTTCAAGGTGAGCATCCTTAGAAGAGACTGCGTAGTTTTGATTTCCAGTGACTCGGAGACAGTAAGGACTGCAGATGCTGGAAGCCAGAGTCAATAGATGTGAAGCTGGAAAAGTTAACATTGACTTTTCTGCTCCTCAGATGCTGTCTGACTTGCTGTGCTTTCCCGGCTTCACATCTATTGAATATAGGATGGCTGCACAGACGGTGTGGGTTACAGCAGAATAGTTGGGGTGGGATATAAGAGTTTGGAGGGTTGGTGTGGACCCGATGGGCCAAATGGCCTGCTTCCACACTGTTGGGATTCTATGACCAGTGGTTCTGGTGCAACTCTCCTCAATAATGTTTGAAAGAGAGAGGTACCGGTGTAAGTATTCGCTACTCACATTGCAGTCTACTGTAATCTGGGCAAACCCAATGCAGAATGGCTGTGTATATTTTCCTTTCAGAAATCATTCATATTTTTATTCAGATAAGTGGATGACTGCACAGTAAATCAGGAACGGAAGAACTTGTTCAATCACTGAAGCCAACCCACCGACCATGATCGAGGTCACCAAAACCAGGGATCAAATGAAATCATCACAATAAGTGAGATGGTCACAGGAAAGACTTCTGGCAGAACTTCTCTCCAGTGACTCATTTATTTCAGTAACCACTCGGTGAAACATTTTACCTGATTTCACTTCTTACTGCTAATTTCAGCATTTTAAATTTATTTTCCGGTCTGTACTTCTAACTACAATGACTCAGTAACTGTATTAACTTCTGTGCTAACTGAAAATTTCTGTTTGGATGATCTTCAAGTCTGCTGCTTTCTCAAAGGATAAGCTGCAGAATTGTTTAAGGAATGATTTTAAAAAAGGTATAGGGTTTAATCTGTGCAATATTACACAGATCTCCAGCTGTGCTGTCATTCTTTCCTTGCGTAATTCTCAAGCAGCTTTATTAAACATCTGTCTGCAAGGTTGGATTGGCAGAGGAAGCAGTTCATTAAACGGTTTGACACCAGCATAGCCAGGTGGGGCTGAATGGTCTTTTTTTTGTGCTGTACATTTTTACGTAGTTTAATAAGTCACTTTTTCAACAGACGTGTAGAAGATTCCCCTATCCCATTTCCCTGATCCTGGTAACGTTTTTATAAAGCTCTTTAACACAGAGATTCAGATTGCAGGGATTTCATTGTTACAGTTGCTTGGTTACCAAGGGGCTAATGAGCTATGACTGCACAGAGAAAATGGAAGATGTTTAAACTACATGCAAATAAGGACAGTTTCTTGTGACAAACAACTTACTGGGGAGAAATGCACCAGAGGAAAAGGGTGAGGCTGACCAGACAAAGATAATAGGCAGTGATGTTCTCCATTATCTTGCAATCTGCTAAACACTTGCTTTTTGAATGTTACACTGGAAAAATGGCACCTGGGTGAGTTTCCTCCAATGAGCTGGGAGAAAACAAGGTGTACATTCAAACAATAATCCCTCTATTCCTCCAATGGCACAAAGTGAATCACAAATTCTAATGCAGGGAAGGCACACAAGAATCATGCCCTCTTGATTTAATGGTTCTGGTTAATCTGATGCTGTGGAAACTGTGTCTGTTCTGTCTGACAGGAACACCAAATGAATCACAGCTTGATTTTCCTTTATCTTGATTTTCTCAACAGGATCAGTAGGCCGCTAACCTTACCATCAGCTGGAGAATTTGCCGGGCTACCGTAATTATCCTGCAGACTTTTAACTCCTGTGTATCACAGAGAGATTCTTTGCACTATACTGTATGAATTAAATAGGATATCAATTAACTTTGCATTTGTGACCTTCATTTATTTTTGTCAACATTTTGAAAATCAAACATGTAGGAAATGGAAGTGGTGCATTACTTGTAAGACCGTCGCAGTTTAAGGCAGCAGCTCACCACCATCTTCTCAAGGGCAAATAAGGATAAGCAATAAATGCTGGCCAGCCATCAATGCCCATCACATCCCATGAGTGAATATATCAAAAGAAAACTTTTTTTAAGGCATCAGTCTCCAGCAGCACACATTGCCTCTGTTTCTCTCAATATCATTACTCAGACAAGTGGATCACTGCACAGTAAATCAGGAACAGGAACAACTTGTTGAACCACTGAACCACTTCATCTCTTTGCTGTTGTTTGATGTACTACATCAGGGTGGAACATTGGCCCAGAACTACCTACTCTTCCTCAAAACAGTGTGATTTGGGCAGCACAGTGGTTAGCACTGCTGCCTCTCAGTGCTTGGGACCTAGGTTTGATACCATCCTCAGGTGACTGTCTGTGTGGGTTTCTTCAGAGTGCTCTGGTTTCCTCCCATAGCCAAAGATGTGCAGTTTAGGTGGATAGGCTATGCTATATTGCCCTATAGTATCCAAGGATGTGAAGATTAGATGGTTTAGCAATGGGATATGTAGGGTTACAGGGATAGAGTGGGGGGGGGTCAGGTCTGGATGAGATGCTCTTCAGAGGGTCAGCGTAGACTCAATGGGACGAATGACCTGCTTCCACAGGGTGGGGATTCTATGATTCTTTGACATCCTTCAGAGAGGGATTTCCATAAAAGCCCAACTGGTTCACCCATGTCCTTTACGGAACAAAATCTGCCATGATTATCCGGTCTGGCCTACAAGTGACTCCAAACCAAAGCAATACAGTTAATTACCCATTGCCCTAACAATGATGGCACTTAAGGACTGGCAACAAATGCAGCCTTGTTAACGTCCACATGCCACTAAAGAATAAAGATGTAATTCTGGAGCTGCTATGTAGTAATTCCCTTGTCTGTACCCAGTAAGCTGACCTCTGTAGTGAAGCAGCAAGGATACAAGAACAGAACTCAGCACTTACCCAAACTACTTAGAGGACTCAAAATAAAATGAATCAGCCATGCCTGACCCCCTAGCTCCTTACCAAGTTATTCAAACAATGTCTTAACTTCAGAGGAAGGCAAGTTTCAGCCGAGCCACAATTTCCTCCCACTGTTGTCAAATTGGGTGCATGGTGTGAAACTATATACTTGACATTCAGAGCAAGACAGCTGTAATATCTTGAAGTCACCCCACATGATCTCATGCAATAGACTGTAAAGAGCTAGTGTTTGCCAATAATGTAGAGTGCACCAAGACTTAAGTTTGTGCTGGTGGAATAAAAGAGACACGCTCAGGAAAGTAGTTCCATCAAAAAGCTCATTCATTACAACAGACAAAGAGAACATGAAGCTTTATAGCTTAAAACAGAAAAAAAAAATTATACTGCAAACATGTACAGCACAGGTCACTTACAGCTTCGAGCAAATGTAAATCAACTTGCACTTAAAGTGTCCAAACACGTGCTTTAAAAAGTTTCCTATATGCTCGAGTTCAAGATTAGCTAATCAATCTGTTGCATCATGAATCATTAACCAACTGCTTACCAAAGCATAATATCAATACAATTCTTAAAAGGCAGCAGACAAAGTTTGACTAAAAACACTCTGTATGTCTTAAACAATAACATACAAAGTTCTTCCCCTCTGCCAGTCCAGCCTAAAAACCATAAGAAATCTTTGAAATTAACCCGAACGTTACCAAACGAATATATATATATCTCTAAAAATGTTATCACTTATGATGATTTGGCCAGGGAATGCAAACACTACACAGTTACAGGAATAGCCCAGCTATCCGTCAGTGGACATTCTGAGAAGACAAAGGAATTGTTGTGCTTCGCTGTAAGAAAGACAGTCCAGCTGTCATCAATACGCATGCATTCAAATAATTGCTCTTGTTGGTCAAGTGCTGAAATTAGAAGTGCCTCCAATGCGACACCCCTTCCCATCATTTAGGTGCAGCCCAGACTGTTTGGTGGCTGAAACATTCACCCTTCTTTTTGTCCAATTGTTTGACAACAAGAAGGCTTACACTGGCGACTGCTGTGGCATCCCTGCACTCACAGTTGATCTGTATGTCTCCAGTTTACCCCAAAGAAGTTACTCCGGTCCTCAACGTGACTTGTGAGGAATATATAATTGAAACAACATGGTCCCAATGATCCAGTGACTGCTGCCAAGTTCACGTTCTGCCGGAGGACAGCTGGGCAAAAGATCACATTGATCTCATGGTCAAACACAAGGTGCACATGGGAAAGGTGTCCACTTTCGTTAGGCACTGAAGGCCATACAGGTAGTGGAAATATAGCCCTAATGAGCAAGAGCTTCAAGCAATGATGGGATTTGGTGGGTAAATATATATTTATAGTGCATGGGAGGAGAAAAAAAGTCAAATAGTACATTTTAGGTGAATTGGCATTTAATTCTGTGGCTGCCCCCCTAGAATGAGAAGCTTTAAAGGTCAAAGTTATTTGCCATTTTAATCAAAGTACTACAAATGCTGAAGATCGGAAATAAAAGTAGAAAGAGCTAGAGAAACAGAACAGTTTTCCGTAGAAGAGTCATACTGGACTCAAAATGTTAACTCTCTCTCTCCACAGATGCTGCCAGACCTGCTGAGTTTCCTCAAGCACTTTCGGTTTTCGTTATAGTTTGCATTTTGTTGAGTAGCACGAACACCATAAGGCAATTCTACTCCCACCATTGGCAAAAAGGATTCTGGACTTGTAGCACAGATTGGTGTCAAATTTGCTGGAGGCTGGGGTTGTGTTAATGCATTTCTGAACATCTTTTGGAATTCTCATCCATTGCTGAAGGCAAAAGAAAGGATTTCCGGGCAGCTGAGGTTAGGACAGTGTGACATAATAAATTCCACTCACTGTGCTTTCACAATGTATGCTTTGAATTCCCACATTTGCATGTGAATATCCTAGAATAAGTTTTAAGAAACAGCTGCAAGCTGGGATGATGGGATTGTCTGGATAGGAGAAATGAGATGGTTTGAATGACCTCCCTCGATCAGAATGTAACCTGGGATTTTGCGATGTTTCATTAGAAGTTTGGCCTCAATTTCCTCACATGGTAAATAGCGAGTTCTCAAAATGACTCGTGCTGATCTGGAACATGGAGATGGGGGGAAACATCAGTCTGGTATCACTTGCGTGCGCGCACACACACACACGCTGCTGGATCATCAGAACACCTGTGTCACTCTACCGAGTTAAAAAATTAAGTTCTGAATCATTGCCCACGGATGGGATGTTAAGATACTCAGCTTTTCAAAAAAAAAAAGGATCAACGCTTCAGGAAGAAAAATCAGTGTTACAGAAAATCTTACCGCTTTATTAACAGGTTTCACTGCCCCACACTGGAAGCTAGAAGCATTCTCACCTGCCAGAAGTTGAAATTTGGGGTAGTACCCATACAGTGGCAACAGCCTGCAGAGGATCTTACAAACTGGCTCAAAAGATGGCATTGGAAAATGCACGCATCAAGCTGGTACAGGAGATTTTTGTCTGAAGAGCATACTTTTAATTTGCAGTTGGCCTGTTCAGCCTCACAAACACAAAATTGTTCGGTGACAGAGAGGGTTGGAAAAACCAAGGAGGCAGCACATGGGGAGAACATGCTCCATCACAGACCTGCCAGTTTGAATGGCTCATTTCTATACTGTACTCGTTCAATGCCAGCACTCTCCCCTCTCCCAGTCTTTGCGACCCTCCCATTTGAGCCCACAGAGCATCAACCCAGACCTCAAAAGAAAAACAAAAGCAAGCGTTTCAAAGATTTATTCAAGATCAAGATATTCGCTGAAAAATATTACTTCTTAAAAAACACCACCAGCTACCCACCCTCCCGGCTAAAATAATATTTCCCATCTCTGGAGCAGCAGGTTACAATGGAAGTATTGAAGGTTGGACTACACCCATGGATTGGAGGCCCCACCCCCCCACTGATATCTTTCTTGACAATAAGACTCAGTTGAACATTGCAGCATAGAATGCTGTTGAGGGCTGTGGGGGAATTAACACAATTATGTGGAAATTGCCAGTGACTTCGGGCTAGGTTGATATACCAACTAGGTAAGCCATGAGCTGTGGCTTGCAGGGGGAAGGGGAACTGGCCATGTGATAAAGAAAGTCTTAATTCTCTCCATTTTACCAGAATGGTTTGGAGGAAGTGTTGCCCTACAATAATCTCATATGCGGGCACTCCTTGTCAGTAAGGCAATTTGTCCTCACACAACTCAAGAGGTCATGACAGTGCTTTCGACGATGGCAGTAGTCAGGCAGCAACTTCAAAACTCGGTCCCTCACTTCTGCTTCTCGGAGAGCAATCAGAAGATGGCTGCTTTGCGTCCTGCCTGATCCAGTGTGCATTACAGTTGGGCCTTTGGGTTTAACCATATTGAGCCTAACATTTGCGCTGGGGATAACCTGGACTATGTGGATCTGTCTTCCCCATGGCAGTGCAGTTTACCCTCTTGAGTTGCAAGGGAGGCTATCCTCAACTAATGCTCCATGATGTACAACAAATCAAATCTTTGGGACATCTGGTCAACAGTGCTATATACAGAAAAATGGTGTTGCATCACCTCTCTCCAAAATCTGCGCTGCCATGTCAGCTTCCAAGCCATGATGCGGGTCAAGCAGAGAAAAAGAAGATGTTCTCTCAGATAACCAAAATTTCAGAGAAAAAAAAAAAAAATCGAAAGGAAATAATTTAGCTCCACTAGAAACTTACTGCCAGTCCTACAGTTGAGATCAGCTCACTTGCAGAGATGGCGCCTCACACTTGGAGTGAGACCCTCCCAACTTTGTGTCATGGGGACTTGCACTTCTACAGACAGGCAGAAGGTTCATTTTTCAAACCAGGATTACAATCTGACCGTCAGCAAATGAAGATTATTCCTACAAGCTGAAGTCCAGCATCTCTCCAGTTACCACCAGCCTCAAGTACCTGCCCCCATCTCACCACATTTCTTGTTCAAATTGATATGTTAGGTGGAGTTTTTCCACTCAGAAAGCCAAAAGATTAAATGAAAGAAACTTGTCCCCTGCACTCTACACAAACACCTTCCCCCCCCACCCACCAAGCACACGCACATGCACGCACAGAGACAGACAGAGCAATAACTTGCACTGCAAACCAAGGGGACGTGACCTGCAGACTGAGCTGAACTGAGCAAAACAGCAGATTTTTAAAAAAACACTTCAGCGGAGATTTCAGAGAGACAGGCAGCCCTTTGTTCTTCCACCTCAGGAATATTTGCAGAGAGCTTGTGTTCTTTTAGGAGGAACGCACACGAGGAACCGTCCACATAGAGTTCTCGAGCAGGACAGAAAATGTAAAAGGAGGAATCAGAGGAGACCCACGTGTGTGTGAGTATATATGTATAAGTTAGTCCAAACCATGTGAAGTGGCTTTTTTTGTAAAGAGCAGACCCATTTTTTTTGGTAATCAAGGGAGTTCAAGTGTGGTTTTGTTGCCTGCCCATCACCTAAAAAAAAATAAAAAGGACATCTGTGAGAAACTCAATGAAGAAAAGAGAGTTAGGCCAATAGTTTTGATGCAATTTGTCAAACACAGTCAGCTCTAGAGCCACGCAGATTTATACAACGCAGAAATAGACCCTTTGGTGTACCCAGTCCATGCCGAACATAATCCCAAACTAAACTAGTCCCACCTGCCTACTCCTTACCCATATCCCAGCAAACCTTTCCTATTCACGTACTTATCCCAAATGTCTTTTAAACTCTGTGACTGTGCCCGCATCCACCACTTCCTCAGGAAGCTCATTCCACACCCGAACCCACCCACTGTGTAAAAAATTTGCCCATGTCTTTTTTTTTTTTTTTTTTTTTTTTAAGGTGAGGAGAGAGATTTAAAAATGTGCCCCGTAGTCTTGAAATCCTCCATCCTAGAGAAAAGACAACAACCATTAACTCTATCTATATCCCTCATTATTTTATAAACTTATAAGGTCACGTCTCAACCTCCTACGCTCCAGTGAAAAAGTTCGAGCCTTTCTTTATAAGGCAAACCTTCCATACCCTGCATCATCTTGATATCTCTTCTCTGAACTCTCTCCAGCTTAATAATATCCTCCCTATAACAGGGCAACCAGAACTGCACACAGTACTCCAGAAGAGGCCTCACCAATATCCTGTACAACCTTAAGAATGAATGAAAGGCCTTCAATTTAAAGAGATTTCACCACCAGTTAGGTCTAATGAACTCAGGGAGGATCTCACGGATTCAGCAAATTGCCTCAAAACTCAAATGATTCACAACTGCAGAAGGCTGTGGAGACCAGGTCACTGAGCATATTCATGAGTTTGATACATTTTTACGTATTAAAAAGGTGTCAAGTGGTATGGAGAGAAAGCAGGAATATGGTGTTGAGATAAGAGGATTAGCCATTATCATATTGAATGACAGAGCAGGCCTAAAAGGGCTGAATGGCCTATACCCATTCCTAGTTTCTATTCTTAAAACGTTTGGCAGCTGAATGAAATGTTGCCCCTCCCCCAACTCCTCCCTTGTAACCCCCGTTTCCTCCTGAGGTTCTGCAATCATCACCGACCTCTCCCAAAATACCCTCTGCAACTGCCCAACCCCTATCAACATCCCTGCCCCACATTTCCCATTGAAGCTCTTCCAATAAATATTCCAAGGTTCCCACCAAACGTTGGCCCTCATCATTCTTGATTCCACACTCTGCTGAATGTTCATGCTCCTGTATTTAAGACACAGATGGGTTGGTGATTAGTAAGGGGATCAAAGGTTAGAGGGAGAAGAGAGGAGAGTGGGGATCACCCACAAATCGAGAAAAATCTTAATTGGTCAAATGACCTAATTCAGCACCTGTATCTTATCGTCTTATGGACCCTAACCCTGTTCCTACTTGATCAGCTCTGCACCCCAAAATCATACAATCCTCAGTTTGGAAATAGGCCATTTGGCCCAATAAGTCCACACCGATCCTCTGAACAGCATCCCACAAAGACCCGATCCCTACCCTATACCTGCAACCCTGCATTTCCCGTGGCTAATGCACCTAACCTACACATCCCTGGATACTATGGGACAATTTAGCATGGCCAATCCACCTAACTTGCCCGTTTGGACTGTGGGTGGAAACCGGAGCACCTGGTGGAAACCCACACAGACACAGGGAGAATATGCAAACTCCCCACAGTTGCCCAAGGTTGGAATTAAACCTGGGTCCCTGGCGCTGAGAGGCAGCAGTGCTAACCACTGAGCCACCGTGCCAATGTGGGGGAAATTCCTTCTACTGCCTCCAAATAAATTTTCATTGGTTTATATTCAGGACCCATAATTCCACTCTCCTCATCAATCACATTATGGGTGGCACGGTGGCTCAGTGGTTAGCACTGCTGCCTCACAGCGCCAGGGACCCGGGTTTGATTCCACCCTTGGGCGACTGCGCGGAGTTTGTACATTCTCCCCATGTCTGTGCAAGTTTCCGGTTTCCTCCCACAGTTCAAAGATGTTAAGGTTAGGGTGGATTGGCCATGCTAAATTCCCACAAAGTTTCCAGGGATGTGCTGGCGTGCTGGCTGGTGGGGTTGACCATGCGAAATGCAGGGATATGGGTCTGGATTGGATGCTTTTTGGAGGGTCTGTGTGGACTCGATGGGCCAAATGGCCTGCTTCCACACTGCAGGGATTCTATTCAAACCTGGCTATTTTTTAAATAGTTCCAAGGCTGTAGTGTGTCTCTGGTTAAGTAGGAACAGGAATTAAGTGCAGGAATAGGCCACTTGATCCCTTAAGACTGCTCCACCATTCAAGATCATTATTTCACATTCCCATCAATTCCCGACATCCCTTGCTTACAAAGGATCAACCTCGGTCTTAAAAATATTCAAAAACTCTGCTTCCACCGCCTTTTGAGGAAGGAATTCTAAAGACTTGTGACTGTCTGACAGGAATAAAGATTCTCATCTGTTTGAAATTATTTTGAAACTAGTGATCCCTAGTTCTAGATTCTTTCACAACAGTAAACAGCTTCTCCGCGTCTAAGCTCTCAAGACCTTATAGGGAGTCATGCAGCACGAAACAGACCCTTCGGTCCAATCAGTCCATGCCGAACATAATCCCAAACTAAACTAGTCCCACTGCCTCGGCTCGACCCATATCCCTCCAAACCTTTCCTATTCATGTACTTATCTAAGTGTCTTTTAAATGTTGTAACTCTGTCCACATCCACCACTTCCTCTGGAAGTTCATTTCACACTCAAACCACTCTAAAAACTTTTGCCCTCATGTCTTTTTCAAAATCTCTCCCCTTTCACCTTAAAAATGTGCCCCCAATGTCTTGAACTCCCCATCTTGGGCACAAGACCTTTGTCGTTCACCTTACCTATACCCTTCATGATTTTATAAACTTCTTATAACGTTACCCCTCAACCTCTAATTCTCCAATGAAAAATGTCCCAGCCTATCCAGTCTATTTTTATATCTCAAACCCTCAATCCCCAGCAACATCCTGGTAAATCTTTTCTGAACTCTCCAGGTTAGTGATATCCTTCCTATAACAGTGTGACCAGAACTGCACACAGTACTCCTGACGATGCCTGACCCAACATCCTGTACAACCTCAACACGATGGCCCAACTCCTATACTCAAAGGTCTGAGCAATGCAGGCAAACGTGCTAAATGCCTTCTTAACCACCCTGTCTACCTGCGATGCAAATTTCAAGGAATTATGTACTTGAACCCCCAGGTGTCTCTGTTCCACAACATAACTCAGTTCCCTACCATGAATTGTACAAGTCCTGTCCTTGTTTGTTTTACCAAAATGCAATGCTTCACGTTTATCCAAATTAAACTGCATCTGCCACTCCTCAGACTATTCGCCCAATTGACCAAGGTCTCTTTGTAATCTGAGATAACCTTCTTCATGGTCAACTTTTGGCGCCAAAATTGGTGCTATTCTCAAACTTATTAACCATGCCTCCCATATTCTCATTCAAATTATTTATATAAATGACAAACAATAGTGGACCTAGCACCGATTGCTGTGGAACACAACTGGTCACAGGCCTCCAGTCCAAGAAACAACCCTCCACCACCACCCTGTCTCCTGCACTCAAGCAAATTTTGTATCCAATTGGCAAGCTCACCCTGAATCCCATGTGATCTAACTTTACTAATTAGTCCACTGTGTGGAAGCTTGTCAAAGGCTTTACTGAAGTCCGTGTAAACAACGTCCACCACTCTGCCTTCAACAATCTTTTTGGTTACTCAATTTCAAAAAAAATTCAATCAAGTTCGTGAGACACGATTTTCCTTGCACAAAACCATGCAGCCTATTCCTAATCAATTCTTGCCTCTTACTCTTCCAAATTCCTGCAGATACAAGCGTAGCCATTCCAACCGTTCTCAGAAGACAACTTGCCCATTAGTCCAGTATTTGTCTAGTTAATTTTCTATTTGAAGGACTTACTTGCTGAAAGAGGTGCTCACTGTGAAGAAAACTGGCTGTTTGCTACATTCTGTCTTGAATCCGTAGTAGAATTGGCAACCAAACCACTTTTGGATTTCATCCGCTCTTGTACCGACCCTGGCTGTTGAGGGGGAAAGAAGGAAGCTTTATCAACAGCGATAAAATTAGAGCTTTTAGTTTTGTTAAATCATTCATTCATGGGATGTGGGTATCGCAGGCAAGGCCAACATTCGCTGCCCAGTGCTAACTACCTCTTGAGATATGGGCGATGTACTGGAATAGTTGTCCGGGAAAGTAGAGAGCGAGCCATTCAGGTCAAGGGGCAACCTGGGATGGTAAGTAAATGCTGGCCCACATCTCATGACCAACAACATCACCATGAACTATAAATGCAAAACAGTCTCATCGCTGCAGTTACTGCACTGAACTGCATCAGCGTTAGCGAACATAGAAACCTTGGGGTACAGGTTTATATTTCCTTGAAAGTGGAGTCGCAGGTAGACAGAATAGTGAAAAAGGTGTCTGGTACGCTTGCCTTTATTGGTCAGTGCATTGAATACAGGAGTTGGGAGGTCATGCTGTGGCTTACAGGACATTGGTTAGGCCGCTTTTGGAATACTGCGCACGGTTCCAGTCTCCCTGCTATAGGAAGGATGTTGTGAAACTCGAGAGGGTACAGAAAATTTACTAGGGTTGGAGGGTTTGAGCTATAGGGAGAGGCTGTATAGGCTGGGGCTATTTTCCCTGAAACATTAGAGGTTGAGGGGTGACCTTATAGAGATTTATAAAATCATGAGAGGCATGGGTAGGGTGAATAGCCAAGGTTTTTCCCCAGGATCGGGGAGTCCAAAACTAGAGAGCATTGGTTTAAGGTGAGAAGGGGCAATATTTAAAAGGGACCTAAGGGGCAACTTTTTCACGCAGAAGGTGGTGTGTCTATGGAATGAGCTGCCAGAGGAAGTGGAGGAGGCTGGTACAATTACAACATTTAAAAGGCATCTGGATGGGTATGTGAATAGGAAGGGTTTAGAGGGATAATGGGCCAAATGCCAGCAAATGGGACTAGATTAATTTAGGATATCTGGTTGGCATGGACGAGTTGGACCACAGGGTCTGTTTCTGTGCTGTATTGCTCTATGACTCACTGGGAGCATTGCTCCTTCTCAGCTGTGCGGTCATGAGGCAAGAGTGAAAGAATGGGGAAGGGCACTTGCAAGTTGAAACAATCTTTTCTTTCAGAGGGCTGTGGAACTCTCTCTTCTCTTCCCAGTCAACGGGGAGACTGAATAATTAAAAAAAGGGCAAGTTAGACAGAACTTAGATCGACAAGGAAGCTGAGCGTTATTTGCTGGCGGCTGATTGAGGCCAGAATCTACTGCACCGTGATTTTATCAGATGGCCGAGCAGGACCGAGGGGCTGAGTGGCCTCCTCCTGTTCCCAGTTTGTCTCCTTTAAGTGTGCCGTGGTCGGGTAAAAACATTAGAAAGAAATCACACCGTAACAAACAGGCAACAAAAGAATAACAGGGGGTGTTGACTGGCGGTTTTTCTCTCTTTTTGTGAAATTAATTCCATAGAAAGGGTCTTTTCTTTGAGCAGCTGCAGAATCATTATCAGCAACAGCGACACCCTCCCACCCCCAACCACGACCATCACAACCGCCCTCTTATTCGGTCCTGGCAGAACAGACACATCTAGAATACACAATGCTTCAGTTTCCAGCATCTCTCCAGTGGATTCATTCGATTGATGGCATGGGACCCAGCAGCTGGTGCAAATGACAGTACCTGACAGTCATCACCACACACTCTCAGGAGGTGGCAGGAGGGGAAGTCAGGATGATAGAAACACAGACGGCAGCAGAGAGAGACAGACAGATGGGTTACAGAAACAGAACTAGTCAGGATACAGAGGGGGAAATGGGAGCGAGAGCGAAAGCTAAAGAGAGAGAGACAGGGGTTAGAGATAGAGAGAAACAGGCAGAATTAGTCAGGAGTGAAGATACAGAGGAAAACGGGAGTGACAGGGAGACAGAGACACACACACAGAGACTAGAGCAACAGAGACAGAGCTCCAGTTCAAAGCAACATCACATACACAGACAATATACAGTAACACTGGTCTAAAATCTTAAAAGCAGTCGTACCCTGATAATTGGCCACAATTAATGCGCGATAAACTATTATTGACATTGACATGTTCCTCTGAACCCCATCTCCTTCCTATCCAGTTAGCCCCCGTGACAGGGAAACGGGAGATGGTTTTTAAATGTCTCCTTGACCCAGCAGAACCCAGGCTGATTACAGGGCACCTCTGATGGAAGGCCCAGGGCAAGGAGCCTGCCAGTTCACACCCATTGAACGGATGATGTTTCAACTACTCATTGGCGAGCACGGTGCTCAATACTTCATGGTTAGTTTGAGCTGTTTGGGTCAATCCCACAGCAGTAGCTGCCTCATGACCACACAGCTCAGAAGGAACAATGCTCCCAGTTAGAGTCAGAGATGTACAGCAAGGAAACAGACCCTTCGATGGCCTCCTGGATGCGCTGAACAGCAACAAGGCCAGCAAAACTCTTTGCAAAGTGTCGTGAGGGAGAAAATGGGTCAGCCAAGTTGCACACAGCAAGCTTACTGCTAACACCAATAAGTGACCAGTCATCCTATGCTGGTGACACTCATCACAGGATGAACTGCTGACAGCGGGAGTGGGATCTTCCAAGGCCAGCCAAAAAGGAAAGTGGGATGTGAAATTAAACAGAGTGCTACCTAATGGAGTTTCCCCAACACGGAGGGGGCAGCAGCTGATGAAATGGCAAGCCATCAGTGATCGAGACTGTGTGGAAATCCACGTCCAGGGGCACAGTCTCGGAATAAAGAACAGGCTGTTTAGGACCGAGGTGAGCCAGGGTGTCTTCATTTAGTCAGGAGATGGTGGATTTTGATCATTCTCCACCTGAGTCAGCAGTGCCAGCTCATGTATATTCAACATTAAGAGCAATAACTTCCTAAAAACATCAGGGCCTACTGGAACACTGCAGGAAATTGGCAGAGGCCAGGATGGATGGGCCAAACAACCTCCTGTAACTTCTATTCCCAACAGTCCAATCTGCAGACATGCTGCAGGTTTTTATGATATTGGGAGGGGATTTTTAGATTCAGCAACATTTTGAAATGGCTATAAAAGGGCAAAATCTAAGACACCGACTTCTATTCTTGGTCGTTGCACATTTTACATCAGGTTGACTGGGGTAAGGACAGGGCGGATAAATATTCTGACAACAACCACTCAACATGTCCGACAGGCCTCCCTATCTCTCGTCGCCCCCTCCGGCCCCCTCCCCATCCCCGTCGCCCCCTCCCCCCCCCCGTCGCCTGCTCCGGCCCCTATGCCCCCTCCCTATCCCTGTCACCCGCTCTGGCCCCTTTGCCCCCTCCCTATCCCTGTCACCCGCTCTGGCCCCTTTGCCCCCTCCCTATCCCTGTCACCCGCTCTGGCCCCTTTGCCCCCTCCCTATCCGTCACCTCCCTTTGACTTTTTACTTAAATTCTGTGTCGGATACTACCTCTCTCACTCACACCTAAAGGAGCAGCGAGGCTCAGAAAGGTTGGGTTTTCAAATAATCCCGTTGGACTATAACCTGGTGTCGTGTGATTTCTAACATTATTAACTAAAGCTCTGGGGTGGGGGAGTCTTATCATTAGTACTAATTTGTTGACCTTGCCCTAAAGTGCCACTTGAAGTCTCGACCCAAAGGCAAAGGGGGTGTAGTGAGCGAGAGAGACTTATTTCTGTTCTCCAGCCCCATAGTTAAATTCACATGATAAGCCTCCAAGTCCTTTTTAATGGCACTGATAACTCTCAGCTGACAAGAGCCAGTTAGTCCAGGGAGTGTCAATTCAAATGAAGGGCATTTGACTCTGAACTCTCAGCAGGATGATTAATGCAGCCACTCCCAGCTATTTACTTATCGAGTTACAATGCACCAGAAGCCAGCCCTGACCAGAATACTTCATTTGATAGAATGGCACCATCCTGTGACACAATACACGGGACCTGGAGTCACACGATCAAAACAGGACCAAGAGACAGCTCTCTGTGAAAAAAATATAAAAGGGGGCTATTGTCATCCTGACCACGTGACGCGTAGTCACAGCTTCCCCTCCCCCTCCGGGAATGTCAGGAATCTCCCAACAGCTCGTAAACAAGTCTCACATTAAGGACAATGTGGGGAGACTTGTACACAATAGGATTTCCTACTGCTGCAACAATTAAAACTGGCTGCCTTCTTCAACGGTGAGCCTAACCCTCCCTCTACTGACCCCTTCTTCCGCCTCCAACACACACCCTCCTCCTGGACACCACCCCAAGGCCTCCTACCCTCCCTCGACCTCTTCGTCTCCAACTGCTGTCGTGACATCAATCACCTCAACCTGACCACCCCTCTCACCCACTCCATCCTCTCCCCCACAGAATGTGCAGCCCTCCGCTCCAATCACAACCTCACCATAAAACCTGCGGACAAGGGAGGCGCAGTTGTAGTATGGCACACTCACCTCTACATCGCCGAGGCCAGACGCCAACTCTCTGACACCTCCTCCTACCGCCCCCTTGATCATGACCCCACCCCCAACCACCATTTCCCAAACCATCCACAACCTCATCACTTCAGGTGACCTCCCACCCACAGCCTCCAACCTCATCGTTCCCCAACCCCGCACCACCCGCTTCTATCTCCTTCCCAAAATCCACAAACCTGACTGCCCTGGTCGACCCATCGTCTCCGCCTGCTCCTGCCCCACCAAATTTAACTCCACCTATCTCGACTCCATTTTCTCACCCTTGGTCCAGGAACTCCCTACCTACATCCATGACACCAGCCACGCCCTCCACCTCCTCCAGAACTTCCAATTTCCCGGTCCCCAACACCTCATCTTTACCATGGACGTCCAGTCCCTATACACCTGCATTCCCCATACAGATGGCCTACAGGCCCTTCGCTTCTACCTGTCCCGCAGGCCCGACCAGTCCCCCTCCACTGACACCCTCATCCGCTTAGCCGAACTTGTCCTCACCCTCAACAACTTCTCTTTCAATTCCTCCCACTTCCTATAGACAAAGGGGGTGGCCATGGGTACCCGCATGGGCCCAAGCTATGCCTGCCTCTTTGTAGGTTACGTGGAACAATCCCTCCTCTGTACCTACACTGGCCCTAAACCCCACCTCTTCCTCCGTTACATTGATGACTGTACTGGCGCCGCCTCGTGCTCCCACGAGGACCTCAATCAGTTCATCCACTTCACCAACACCTTCCACCCCAACCTTAAGTTCACCTGGACCCTCTCTAATACCTCTGTCTCCTTCCTGGATCTCTGTCTCCATCTCCGGCAACCACCTAGAAACCGATATCCATTTCAAGCCCACCGACTCCCACAGCTACCTAGAATACACCTCCTCCCACCCACCTTCCTGCAAAAATGCCATCCCCTATTCCCAATTCCTTCGCCTCCACCGCATCTGCTCCCAGGATGAGGCATTCCACTCCCGTACATCTCAGATGTCCTCGTTTTTCAAGGACCGCAACTTCCCCCTCTCAGTGGTCGAGAACGCCCTCGACCATGTCTTCCGTATTTCCCGCAACTCATCCCTCACACCCCCTCCCTGCAATAACAACCAAAACAGAATCCCCCTCATCCTCACATACCATCCCACCAACCTCCAGATCCAACGCATCATCCTCCGACACTTCCACCATCTGCAATCCGACCCCACCAGCAAAGACATTTTTCCCTCCCCACCCTTATCTGCTTTCCGGAGGGACCACTCTCTCCGTGACTCCCTTGTCTGCTCCACACTCCCCTCCAGCCCCACCTCACCTGGCACTTTTCTCTGCAACCGCAGGAAGTGCTACACCTGCCCCCATACCTCCTCCCTCACCCCCATCCCAGGCCCCAAGAAGACTTTCCACATCAAGCAGATGTTCACCTGCACATCTGCTAATGTGGTATACTGCATCCGCTGTTCCCGTTGTGGCCTCCTCCACATCGGGGAAACCAAGCAGAGGCTTGGGGACCGCTTTGCAGAACACCTACGCTCGGTTCGCAATAAACAACTGCACCTCCCAGTCGCAAACCATTTCAACTCCCCCTCCCATTCTGCAGACAACATGTCCATCCTGGGCCTCCTGCAGTGCCACAACAATGTTACCCGAAGGTTGAAGGAACAGCAATTCATATTCCGCTTGGGAACCCTGCAGCCCAATGGTATCAATGTGGACTTCACAAGCTTCAATATCTCCCCTCCCTCTACCACATCCCAAAACCAGCCCAGCTCGTCCCTGCCTCCCTAACCTGTCCTTCCTCCCACATCAAGCCCCACCCCCATCTCCTACCTACTAACCTCATCCCGCCCCCTTGACTTGTCCATCCTCCCTGGACTGACCTATCTCCTCCCTACCTCTCCACCTACACTCACCTTTACTGGCTCCATCCCCGCCTCTTTGGCCTGTCTGTCTCCTCTCCACCTATCTTCTCCTCTATCCATCTTCTATCTGCCTCCCCCTCTCTCCCTATTTATTTCAGAACCCCCTTCCCCTCCCCCATTTCTGAAGGGGGGTCTAGGCCCGAAACGTCAGCCTTCCTGCTCCTCTGATTTTGCTTGGCCTGCTGTGTTCATCTAGCTCTATACCTTGTTACCTCTGCCTTAACCTTCGACAGGCCTGGGGGTGGGGAGTCGGTCGTCAGAAATGCAGGCCTTTTCTTTCAGGATACATCGAATTCAATTGGGTTTCTTTTTCCTCAAATCAGAATTTTCTCCACTGTAAAATGATACTGGACTCAGAACCTCAACTCTGTCCAGCGTCCACAGAACTCTCTCTCTCTCGATTCTGAATATACCAGAAGGGGAAAAAAGGGGTCGGGATATGGGCTGTGCAAGCTCAAGGGGGTTATTGGAAGGGTGGGGCAGCAGAGAAGTGTATGGAGAGGGGAAAATATCTTCACCCAGAGTGGGGCGCCTATGGAATTCTCTGCCACAGAAAGCAGTCGGGGCTGAAAAATCAAATGTTCTCAAAAAGGAGTTGGATATAGTTCTGAACGAATCAATAGGGGAGAAAGCAGGGAACTCAGTTGGATGATCAACCATGACAGTACTGAAGAGCGAAGCTGGCTCGAAGGGCTGAATGGCCTACATCTGCCCCAATTTTCTATGTTTCTATGAGAGAGGGAGGCAGGGGGAATGAAGGCATGGAGGAAGAGTGGAAAATACAAAGGTGCTGAACAAATTCAGTAGGTCTGGCAGCATCTGTGGAGAGAAACACCATTAACACTGAGTCCATTCCGAATCTCCTGCAGAAAGATTTCGAGTTGGCCCTCCGACATTTATCTGGAGTGGCAGTTTTCAAGCACATTCGGTTCAGAAAACCCAAGCCAAATCGGTCTGCTCAAGGCTGAGCCAGGCCACCGAGATCTTAAAGCTTCAACACTGAGCCCTCAACCACTCCAGTTATCAGAGTGCAGGAGGTGCCTCTCCCATGGTTGAGGAGCCAAGCAACTGCAATGCAAACCCTCCCCTCTCCTCTCCTCTTATTGAGGGGGAGTGAGCGGCTCTCTTTCTCTTGCCACCGATACCAGCTCGGGGGACCAGCGACTCCAAACCTCGAGCTAACCTGACCCTTCCGTCCGGTAGTCCTGAGGGAAGTGCGGGATCCGGTCTGCGCTCCATTCCCCCACGCTGCACCCCCCCCACCTTGTCCAAAGGGTAGCCATTGAATCACTGCTTGTGGGAACTTGTTGCACACACGTTTGTAACGAGGTTTCCCCGAATTACCGCAGTGACCACACAGCGCTCGAGACCAGCCAAGCAGCAACCACTGGCTCTTCGACTCGGTGTGCTGTAACACTCCTCGCTGATGGAAAGTAAAGGGGGGGGGGGGGGGACAACGCCCACAGCCCCTTCAATTAGACCACCCCGTAATCTTCAGCACTTCAGGGATACAACCACATGACTAGTTGGCAAGGATTTCAAAACTCCAGGCTTGACATTCCTGGAGAGAAGGGATTGGAAGTGAAAAGGGGCTGATTTAGTGACCAGCAAGCAGGTCGGAGCCAGGGGAGCGCCACACCGTCGGAGGGTCAGTGCCGAGAGAATGGGCACAGGAGGAGGAGGAGGAGGTGGTCAGCGCTGAGGGGGCAGGCACTGTCGGAGATGTACACATTTATCTGAAGCTCCCATCCACCCTCTTAGTGGATTTCCCAGACCTTACTGCTGCCAATGAACAGGAACCGGACACCAAAACCCAAAAGTTCACAGAAAAACAGATAACCTGGGTCGCCCTCCCAGTGCCAACTGTGGGAGCATGCAGGGCACTGATTGGCTAATGCATTTTGTACATCACAACAGTGACGACACCTCAAGAGGAATTCTCTAGCTGCGTGGCACAAGTCAGTCAACGCAAGGTCTTCCATCTACAGTCGCTTGATCTTAGAGTGTCTGTAGCACGCAACATTCAACCGTGAATCCATATCATATCCTCAGGCAGAATCCACAATTACTCCTTTTCCCCGACTCCGTCCCAGAAGGGTTTACCCAGTCTCCAAGGCCAGACTCAGGGATACCAGAAGGAAGTGCCCGAAAGCACACTCGGTGACTCACCATCGAGAAGCCTTGGCTTGACATGTCTCCTGACCCGACGTGCGTCAAGTGCACGAAGTTCATGGGCTCTCCAATCATACTCCTGTCGATACGTTTCCGTTTTTTCTGCGGAATTGAAGTATTGGGTTAACACGGCGAGACCACATCACAGCACCACCCCCCCCCCCCCCCCCCCCCCCCCCCCCCCCCCCCAATACCCCCAGCTCCTACCTCTCCACGGATCCATCAGGCAAATGCAGAACAGACTGTCCCCCTACACCCGTCCATACCTCTGTCACCTCCTCCAGCCCCCTACACCCCCTCCCTGTCTCTGTCACCTTTTCCTCCGCTCTTCACGGTCTTAAGGGCAACTCAGAATGGGCAATTTACTGAGTGAGACAGTAAAGTCCACATCCTGGCATAGAATAAAAGATGCAAAGGACAGAGGATCATCATATCAGAAAAGTACTGTGGGTGCTGGAAATCTGAAACAAACAGGAAGTTCTGGAGAAACTCAGCAGATCTGGCAGTATCTGTGGAGACAGAGTAAAGATTAAAGAACCTGCAAAACCCTTGACACCAAACATTTCCAACAACCACTTAAAGAAACTAAGTTGTAATCGAAAGTAGGAATAATAGGCAGCCAGATTATACACAGTAAGCTCCGACATTTGGGTAACACCCAGATCAGCTCTTTTCAAAACGGCGTTGGATGAGAAGCAGGTTCAAAACTCACTGCAGGAATTATGTTCCATCATAGAAAGTCTGGTGGCGAAGGATACAACCGGAGCCTATCTTGTCACACTTGTAAGACTGTTTTTTTACAAAGCGTCGCCCTCCAAGCACGTACCTCCTCACCCTACCATCACAGTTTCACTTTGTGTCGTCTATTTGTAATGGGTGCAGGAGAGTTTCCACTTAATCTCCACTGCCCACATCTGATTAAACACACCAGCACTCCATGCAGAATCTCGCTGATAATCCCAGTGCCAATATTGATTGGGACCTGCACTGTTCACAAGGAAGCTTTCCTTGGATAACACCCGCTTTCAGAAATGGATGCGATGGACCCTACAGTTACTGTTACAGCAGAAAAGTGCAGGTTCTTTCTGGGGGATGATGCTGAAACATTTGTCATAGAGTCATACAGGACGGAAACAGACCCCTCAGTCCAACCACTCCATAATCCCAAACTAAACTAGTTCCACTGCCTGCTCCTAGCCCATATCTCTGCAAACCTTTCCTATTCATGGACATATCCAAATGTCTTCTAAACATTGTGACTGTACCCGCATCCACCACTTCCTCAGGAAGTTCATTCCATATGCAAGTCACCCTCTGTAAAAAAAATTTGCCCCTCATGTCTTTTTTTTTAAATCTCTTAAGGATTGTACTCTGCCAGTAACTCCAGACCAGATCATTTAACTGCGGTGGTGGGAAAACATATAGAAAGTTATTTGGGATAGAATTCATGACTTGGAAGAGTGGGCATGGATTTGTTCAGGGAACATTGTGTCCAACTCTTTCAGAGGAGATGATAGAGAGGGCTAATGAAGGTAATGCTGTGGATGTGGTCTATAGGGACTTGTAGGAGGTGTTTGATACCACAGGCTGGCAAGGAAGGTTATAGCTTGTGGAATAAAATGAACAGTACAAACATGGACAGGCTGACACTTCTTCACTGGAGTGTAGGAGAGATGACCTTATAGAGGTTTACAAAATAATGATGAAGGGTATAGACAGAGTTAACAATAGTTGTCTTTTCCCTAGGATGGGGGATCTCAAGACTAGGGGACACATCTTGAAGGAAAGAGATTTAAAAAAGACGCAAGAAGCAAATGTTTTACACAGAAGGTGGTCTGTCTGTGGAATGAACTTCTTGAGGAAGTGGTGGATGTGGGTACAGTTACAACATTCAAAAGGCATTTGGAGAAGTACATAAATTGGACTGGTAGGATTGAAGTGGGTCTGTTTCCATGCTGAATGACTCTATGGACAAAAAACTGGCTGAGGAATAGGAAACACAGAAGTAATTATTGGGTATTTTTCAGGCTGGATGAAGGTTTGTAGCGGAGTTTCCCCAGGGATTACATGAAAGACTTGGATCTTCCTGAGCAGGGAACAGTTTTCAGAAGACGAAACTTGAGGAGAATCGTAAAACTGTGAGGAGGACAATGTAGAACTTGAAGTGGTACAAAGAACTATTCTAAAAGGGTGTGAGGGAGATTAGAGAACTGGGTGTATATGTACATAAGTTACTGAAACCAACAGGACAGATAGAGGCAAACAACAGTATTTTAGGTTTCAGAAGTAGTCAAGTATCATAGAATCTCTACAGTGTGGCAACAGGCCATTCAGCCCATTGAGTCCACAGTGACCCTCCAAACAGCATCACACCCTGACGTACCTCCCTATCTATCCCTGTAACCCCGAATTCCCCCAAGACCAATCCACCCTAATCTGCACATCCCTGGACACTATAGGACAATTTAGCACGACCAATCCACCCTAACCTGCTCATCTTTGGACTATGGGAGGAAACCGGAGCACCCAGAGGAAACCCATGCAGACACGGTGGGAGAATGTGCAAACTCCACTCAGACACAGTCACCCGAGGCTGGTATCAAGCCTGGGTCCCTGCCGCTAACCACTGAGCCACTGAGTCATCCAGTGGGAGTAGGAAAGTTATAGAAGACACTGGCCGTATATCTGGAGTACTGTGTATAGCTTCGGGCACCACAGTTCAGGGAAGACGTGAACGTATTGGAAAGAGTGCAGAAGAGGTTTACGAGAATGGTTCTAGGACCGAGACACTGCAATTATAGGGACAGATTGGAGGAAGTTGGAAGCCCGAGAGGAGATTTGATAGATGCTTTCCATATCACGTGGGGGTCTGCCTAGACAACACATACAAGGAGTCCGTTTCTGTGTTGTATGTGAGGGCATCGCCGGCTAGGCCAGCATTTATTGTCCATCCTTAATTGCCCAGGGGGCAGTTAAGAGTCAACCACATTGCTGTGGGTCTGGAGTCACATATTAGCCAGACTAGAATGGTAGACTCCTTCCCTAAAGGGCATTAGTGAACCAGATGGGTTTTTCTTACAATGGGTTCATGGTCATCATTAGACTTGTAATTCCAGATTCTTTATTGAATTCAAATTCTACCGTGGTGGGATTCAAACCCAGGTTACCTGGTTCTCTGCGAGAATACCACTAGGCCATCACCTTCTCTATGGAGATGCAATGCCTGGAATTGTGGTAGGGGCAGGTTCAACTGAGGCATCCAAGCGGGCATTGGGTGATTATTTAAATAGAGGCAGAGTTATGGGGTACCGGCTGAAGGCCCAGCAGCCTCCTACGCCATGTCACGAATCTGCGGCGTAAACATTCAGAACAGGAACAGCGTGTAAACTTTGACCCCTCTTACACTCCCTCCCCAGCATCGATGCTTGAATTAAGGTTAACCTAGACTGAAGTCAGTCTCTGGTCCAGCTCTGTTTCCCCCATCCACCCCACAGACAAAATAAAAACCCTCAAGTGGTGAAGGATATAACTGGATCAGACTTTTACACATTTTTATTTATAGAGAACCAGGCCCCATGGCCTACTAACCAGGGAGGTGACAGTTCAGCTACATAAGGCAGCACAACAAGCCTTTCTGCTTTAAGAGGGGTATTGAGATGGAGCTGCAAAGTGGGACCAGCCAGATAGCTCTTTTGGGAGCTGGTACAGACACGATGGGCCGAATGGCTTCTTTCTGTACTGTAAGATTCTATGATTTACACTGCCGTGGGTCTCCTCCCTCCTCTCACTCTCACAAACACACGCAGACAACACAGACTCAACGGCATTTACTTGCCCAAGAAGCATCAAAGAGGCTACACTGTTCCTTGAGTAGTGAAGATTACATTTGTCACCTCAGATCAATCAGGGCAGTCTTTCATTTTCTCTTCCCCATCCAACATCCCCCTTCCCCCCCCCCCCGCCAACTCCCATCCCCCTCCATCCAACGGATTTGGGCAACACTGACTGGGGCAACAATTATAGCCTACCCCTAACTGTTCAGATTAAGGTGGCGAAGAGTCAACCCCATTGCTGTGGGGTGTCTGGAGCCACATGTAGGTCCAGATCAGGTAACGACGGCCGATCTCCTTCCCCAGTTAGTGACCCCCGACGGGCGTTTCCGTACAGTTGGCAGTTGCCATCACGGAGATGAGCTTTCAACCGTTTTTCAAAACAACAGGGGAGGCTCAATGGTATTGTCACTGGGACAAGTAATCTAAAGACCCCAGGTAATGTTCCGAGAAAGGGTCACTCAACCCGAAACGTTAACTCTCGATTTCTCTCCACTGACGCTGCCAGACCTGCTGAGCCTTTCTAGCAATTTCTGTTATTGCTCTGGAGACCTGGGTTCAAATCCTACATCATGGCAAATGTTGGAATGTGAAGTATTTAAAAGTAAAATCTGGAATTATTGTCAGTTGTCTGGGGTTTAAAAGAAAAACGCACCCGGTTCACTAATGTTTTAGGGAAAGTAACTGCCGTCCTTACCCGGTCTGGCCCACACGTGACTCCAGCAACATGCTTCACAAAAACGTACCTAGCTCAGATTTAAAAATAACAGCAGCCTGCCAAACAATACTTTTCACTGTCTTGCAGTACGTGCAACAATAATAAATCAAATTAAATCTAGACAGCGTTCAGAACTTGTGCTTGTACAAGTGCCTCTCGACATCTCTACTGAATTCTTAGACTAGTCCTAGAGTCCCCAACCAGTTTACCTGCCCTGACCTTTCCCTGCTTAAAAAACAAATTCTAGGCTTAATTCATCGATCGAATTTGTGCCAAGGTGGCATTCGAAATGATATCTCTGGATTACTAGCCCTGTGGCATGCCCATCATCCCAAGCAACAGACGATGCTCCACCAGTGGCTGGTCTCACTGAAGATTGACAATCAAGGGCAGACACAAGAAGAGACCGGTACGATAGAAAAAAAATCACGCTGCACTTACTGGCTGGGCCTTCTCAACCTCCGAGCAGCCAAAACACAACCAGAAGTCGCTCATTCCCTCGGGTCTCTGCCAATGCCTCCTGGACGGATTCACTCAGGCCTAGGATTGTCCCCTTACCCTGCCCCAACACACGTGCCACAATTCGGCGGGGGGCAATCGATAGACTACATGGGGCAGTCGGCCTGGGTTTACAAATCTCAGCTGGCAGTCGAGGGCAGACCTACAGATATCAGCCGTAGGTCAAAGTTCAGCACACCGGCTCCCCTGTGATCTTTCGAAATTCTGTTCCTGTTGAGCCCAGGCCTGTTGGAGGGAGAAGAAACGGATTATAAATTGATGCAGCACAGCAGGTGATGGGAAACGTGACAGACAGGAGAAGAGAATTCCTTCCTGCTGCGAAAATAATAAATGCTCTAAATGTCCCAACCCCTTTCCTGGCAAAAACCCTCAGTCTGCTTCAGAGATTGCCTTTATTGGTCAGTGCATTGAGTATAGGAGTTGGAAGGTCATGTTGCGGCTGTAAAGGTCATTGATTAGGGCCACTTTTGGAATACTGTGTTCAATTCTGGTCTCCCTGCTAAAGGAAGGATGTTGTGAAACTTGAAAGGGTTCAGAAGAGATTTACAAGGATGTTGCTGGGGTTGGAGGGTTTGAGCTATAGGGAGAGGCTGAATAGGCTGGGGCTATTTTCCCTGGAGTGTAGGAGACTGAGGGGTGACCTTTACAGAGGTTTATAAAATCACGAGTGGCATAGATAGGGTGAATAGTCAAGGTCTTTTTCTCGGCGTTGGGGGGGTGGGGTGGGGGGGCGGGGGTGCAACTTTTTCACACAGAGTGTGGTGGGTGTATGGAACAAGCTGCCAGAGGAGGTGGTGGAGGCTGGTACAATTACAACATTGAAAAGGGATCTGGATGGGTACGTGAATAGGGAGGGTTTAAAAGGATATGGGTCAAATGTTGGCAAATAGGACTAGATTAATTTAGGATAATCTGGTCAGCATGGACGGGTCGGACCAAAGATGTCTGTTCCCGTGCTGCAGAACTCTGATTCCAAATGGGATCATGCTCTCACTTCACCGGGATACAGGGCCAAAGGGCAGGAGTAAGAGTAGCTGAATAGCCTCCTCCTGTGCAGGGATGCTCCCAGAATGCTGGCTTCAAAGAAGACACACAGTCTCAGAATCGCACAGACCAAATTTGGGCTTCCTCCTCTAGGATAACCAAGACGCTCTCCCAGAATCTCAACCCGGATAAAAAAAAAGCATCAATGTAAACAAACCACCAAAAAAATAAAAAAAAGGCCCATTAACACTGACTCCATTTCTTGGGATGTAGGCATCACCGACTGGGCCAGCATTTGATGCCCATCTCCAAATGCCCTTCAACTCGTGTCTCCCTCGGCCACAGTGGAGCCTAGCTGAGAGGTAACCATGTTGCTGTGAGTCTGGAGTCAAACACAAGCCCAGACAAGGGAAAATCTAGATTGTAAGGAGATACTACATTTAAATTTATAGCTATCACTAGGACATTACCTCCCCTCTCTTTCATTCAATCTCACCCTCAATCTGCACTATTGGAGGTGGTGTGTTCGGCTTTGCTATACCAGACAGTGGCATTCCTTCACTCGAGTCAGCTGGTTAACTGCGGGAGGCACCACTGACAATCCAAGCACCCTGCTTGGAGGGCCCCTCACGTGAGCAGTCGGAGCCCTGGCTAATTCCTTCCTGCCTCCATACTCCCTTTCGCGAGCCCCCGGTCACAGAGGTCAATTTCAGGGCTGCCACCACATGCCAGCTTGTCAGGGAAGGGCAACGACCCTCCTGGTCAACTATGGCACGTACAGATTTCTAATCAACCTGTTCCAAGATGTTAGGACATAACTCCACAGCAGTGCTGGGATTTGAAACTGGACCTCCTAGTTCAGTATGGACGCTACCATGCTGGAGAGCCTGATTAAAGAAACACTGAAACAGAAGGGTCTGCTGATTCTGCCCAGAATTGAACCAAGGACCCTTAGGTCATAGAATCCCTACACTGCAAATGCAGGCCCTTTAGGTCCCTTTCAAATCTTTCCCCTCTTACCTTAAACCTCTGCCTTTAGTTTGGGACTCCCCTACCCTGGGGAAATGACCTTGACTATTCTCCCTACCCATGCCCCTCATGATTTTACAAACCTCTAATGTCACACCTCAGCCTCTGACACTCCACAGAAAATAGTCCCAACCTATTCAGTCTCTCCCTATTGCTAAAACCCTCCAAACTTGGCAATAGATCACAGAATCCCTACAGTGTGGAAACAGGCCCTTTGGCCCAACAAGTCCACACTGACCCTCACAGCATCCCACCCAGACCCATCCCCCGATAACCCACCTAATCTACACATCCCTGAACAATATGGGCAATTTAGCATGACCAATCCGCCTCGCCTGCACATCTTTGGACTGTGGGAGGAAACCGGAGCACCCGGAGGAAACCCACGCAGACACAGGGAAAATGTGCAAACTCCACACAGAAAGTGACCCGAGGGGAGAATCGAACCCAGGTCCCTGGTGCCAAGAGGCAGCAGTGTTAACCACTGTGCTATGTGTTCTGAACCCTTTCAAAGTTTCACAACACCTTTTGCACAGCAAGGAGGCCACAACTGAATGCAGTATTCCAAAAGTGGCCTCAACATGACCTCCCAATTCCTACACTCAGTGCACTGACCAATAAAGCCAAGCATACCAAGCAGAGGCATAGAGATGCACCTCAAGGTCTCTTTGTTCAGCACCACTCCCCAGGGCCCTACCATTAACTGTGTTAAGTCCTGGCAAAACGCAACACCTCACATTTATCAAAATTAAACTCCATCTGCCACTCCTCGGCCCATTTGTCCACCTTGATCGAGCTCCCGCTGAACTCCGAGATAACCTTCTTCCCACTCCACTACGCCTCCAATTTCGGTGTCATCCGCAAACTTACTAACCATTCCTCCTATATTCACATCCAAATCATTTGTATAAATGACAAGAAGCAGCAAACCCAGCACCGATCCTTGAGGCACACCACGTATAGTGTCATCATCTCAAAGCACAGAAAAATAAACCAAAAGGCAGAAAGATGGAAGGATTAAAAAAAAAAGTGTTCACCACATCCCCCACCACCCGAGTGAGTAGTCCCACAATCCCACATTTTCGCCTATTTTCTCCAAATTATTTTCACCCCATCCTGACCAATTTTACCCTTTATTCTTCCCACTTCACTCAGGGGTGGAAGTTCTTATTCTCCAATCTGGTTCCTTTCCATCAGCCACTGCTGTGACTGACCCTCAGATAGAAATCCTACCCATAAAGGAAAAAAAAAATATCGAGCATCTTGTTTTAATGCCTGATCTGAAAACAAAATAATTAATTTCTTTAAAAATTCAAAAATTATTTTTTAAAAATTAAAACAATTAGAAAGCATTATTTTAAAAAAACAATGACCAAAAAGATCAAATAAAAATATTTTTAAAAAAGTTTTAAAAAATAAAAAATTTAATACAATGAAAATACTTAATCAAATTATTTTTATTTTTAAATTTTAAATATTTTTAAAATGTAAAAAATTTGAAAATAATTAAACTTAATAGTAAGTTAAAATAATTAAAAATCATTTTTGAAAATAATGGCAAAAATTGAGTAATTAAAAATATTCTTAAAAATAGGTTTAAAAATTTGTAAATAATTTTAAAAAGTGAAAAATTTTTCAAAAATTTAATTAAAAATAATTACAATTTAATAAAATTTTGAAATTAAAAAGCATATTTTTAATTAATTTAAAAATATATTAAACTACTAAAAATCTTTCAAAATTAAAAATGTAGTTATAAAATAATAATTAAACGATAACAATTTTAAAAAGGAGGCGAGGTTTACCTCAGAAAGCGCGGCTCTCGATGCTGCCCGTCCCCGGGAAAGCGTTCACAAGGACATGGGAGGCTGAGCCAATCGAGGCCGAGGCCTGACGACGGGGTGCAGGCCGCGAGGTGGGAGTGAAGAGGCGGCCGAGGCCCAGCCCCGGGCTGTAGGCCACGGATCCGCGGGGTCGCGTTTCCAAGCGACGGCCTCTCCCTCCGAGTCATAACCGACGCACCCAACCCCCGCCTCACTCCCCTCCCTCCCTCCCGTCCCCCTGCAGCTCGACAAGATGGAGACCCCCGGCCTTACCTCCTCACCTGGGCCAGGGACGGTGAACAAACAGGAAGAGGACACACAGTCCCACACACACGGAGTGATTTGTCTGCTCATTTACACTGAAAGTAAAGCTTCCTCTACACTTCTCCCCCCATCAAACACTCCCAGTGACAGGG